GCGCCATCTAGGGACCAGAATCTGCTTCATGAACCGTCTCCTGTCCATGTTGCGCTCACATTATGCTAGAGGAATACCCAGCGCTGCCCGTGTCTGTCTCTTTCCCTTCTGCCCATCCGTCTATCTATCCATCCGTCTATCAATCCATCCATCCACCCACCCCACTCATCTTTTTATGCATATATCTATCCATCCATCTACTCATCTGTCTTTCCATTTATCCTTACATCCATCTGTCTGTCTCTTATAAGTAATATAACTAATATGTGGGTGGTCGCCAGTGAGAAGAACCTGTGGTGATGAAATACTAAAAAAACAAAAGTTACCCCTTACTCTGATAACGGTCCAGTGGCTTGAGAAACCTTTGAAGGTGTGAAAATATCGTCTGTTTTATGCAAGTATGTGTAATCTATTGACTGCAGGAAATTTCCGTTGATTTTTCCGAAATCAGTGAATAATGTTGCATGTTGCTATAAGACAAAAATTAATTTGTAAAGTTTGTTTTGGAAATATCTAGCGGGCAGTGCTAAATATCTGCTGAATATGATCTTCGCACGCTTTTCCTTTTGTCAATTATGGCGATCCCCCGAGCAGCCTATGCTCATCCCTTACCCTAGACCATTCCCTCTGCCAGTTTGGGTGATGATAGTCCCAATCGTGTGGCCTCCAACTTCGAACAGACAAACATTCTCTCGTTTAGTACAGCTTGCACACACTCTTGCATTACGGGACACATTATCGTTTGAATTGCAACAAAATGTTAATTGAGTATTTTCAATTTTTCCCAAGCAACATCATGGCTGATTGTATGAGTATAGGTCTGTCAGCCCGTAAATTTTAATAGAACTTGTGCTAAAAATGCCAGTGGTGGTCGGTTTAGTTGGTGGATACCAGTGTATATACAACTTGCCTTTCCTGGGAATATTATGTATTGTATTGAATGGAATCCCACTTTATTGTGGATATATAGAGCTAGAGTACTGCATTATTTTATAGCTAGTTTATTGCGCAACCCATACTCATGCTGTGGGCGGTTGTGTACCCCATACTCATGCTGTGGGCGGTTGTGTACCCCATACTCATGCTGTGGGCGGCTGTGTACCCCATACTCATGCTGTGGGCGGTTGTGTACCCCATACTCATGCTGTGGGCGGCTGTGTACCCCATACTCATGCTGTGGGCGGCTGTGTACCCCATACTCATGCCGTGGGCGGTTGTGTACCCCATACTCATGCTGTGGGCGGTTGTGTACCCCATACTCATGCTGTGGGCGGTTGTGTACCCCATACTCATGTTGTGGGCGGTTGTGTACCCCATACTCATGCTGTGGGCGGTTGTGTACCCCATACTCATGCTGTGGGCGGTTGTGTACCCCATACTCATGCTGTGGGCGGTTGTGTACCCCATACTCATGCTGTGGGCGGTTGTGTACCCCATACTCATGCTGTGGGCGGTTGTGTAGCCCATACTCATGCTGTGGGCGGTTGTGTACCCCATACTCATGTTGTGGGCGGTTGTGTACCCCATACTCATGTTGTGGGCGGTTGTGTACCCCATACTCATGCTGTGGGCTGTTGTGCACCCCATACTCATGCTGTGGGCTGTTGTGCACCCCATACTCATACTGTGGGCTGTTGTGCACCCCATACTCATACTGTGGGCGGTTGTGTACCCCATACTCATGCTGTGGGCTGTTGTGCACCCCATACTCATGCTGTGGGCTGTTGTGCACCCCATACTCATACTGTGGGCGGTTGTGTACCCCATACTCATGCTGTGGGCTGTTGTGCACCCCATACTCATACTGTGGGCGGTTGTGTACCCCATACTCATGCTGTGGGCGGTTGTGTACCCCATACTCATGCTGTGGGCTGTTGTGCACCCCATACTCATACTGTGGGCGGTTGTGTACCCCATACTCATGCTGTGGGCTGTTGTGCACCCCATACTCATACTGTGGGCGGTTGTGTACCCCATACTCATGCTGTGGGCGGTTGTGTACCCCATACTCATGCTGTGGGCTGTTGTGCACCCCATACTCATACTGTGGGCGGTTGTGTACCCCATACTCATACTGTGGGCGGTTGTGTACCCCATACTCATCCTGTGGGCGGTTGTTCATCCCATACTCATGCTGTGGGCGGTTGTGTACCTCTTACTCATGCTGTGGGCGGTTGTGTACCCCATACTCATCCTGTGGGCGGTTGTTCATCCCATACTCATGCTGTGGGCGGTTGTGTACCCCATACTCATGCTGTGGGCGGTTGTGCACCCCATACTCATGCTGTGGGCGGTTGTGCACCCCATTATCATGCTGTGGAAGGTTGTGTACCTCATACTCATGCTGTGGAAGGATGTGTACCCCATACTCATGTTGTGTGCGGTTGTGCACCCCATACTTATGCTGTGGGCGGTTGTGCACCCCATACTCATGCTGTGGGCGGTTGTGCACCCCATACTCATGCTGTGGGCGGTTGTGCACCTCATTATCATGCTGTGGAAGGTTGTGTACCCCATACTCATGCTGTGGGCGGTTGTGCACCCCATACTCATGCTGTGCGCGGTGGAGCACCCCATACTCATGCTGTGCGCGGTGGAGCACCCCATACTCATGCTGTTGGTGGTTGTTCACCCCATACTCATACTGCGGGCAGTTGTGCACCCCATACTCATGCTGTGGAAGGTTGTGTACCTCATAACCATGCTGTGGGCGGCTGTGCACCCCATACTCATGCTGTGGGCGGTTGTGTACCCCATTATCATGCTGTGGGTGGTTATGTACCTACATAAGCATGCTGTGGGCGGCTGTGCACCCCATACTCATGCTGTGGGCGGTTGTGCACCCCATACTCATGCTGTGGAGAAAGGTGGAGAGGGGAATAAGGGAAGAGAGATGAGGGGAGAGGAGAGTGTTAGAGAGGGAAGGAGGAAAGAGAGCGACGGTCAAGCCGGATACCCCATTAGTACTAGACACATAATATAGCCAAGTAATTGTTTATATATATATATATATATATATATATATATATATATATATATATATATATATATATATATATATATATATATATATATATATATATATATATATATATATTTTAGGTCGCCTCTTTGCTCTGCGTTAGATGCAATGGTTTGTCGTGTGAATATGTGTATCTTTCTCTTCGTCAGTTCAGTATTTATGGTGAGTGACTTTGCCAGGATTGACAGTTGATGGGGAGGCGATTGGTGTGATGCCCTGATGGCTAGTGTGTATGGTGACCTGGAGGTTAATGGGTATGGTGACCTGGAGGTTAATGGGTATGGTGATCTAGGGGCTAATGGGTATGGTCACTTTGTAGTTAATGGGTATGGTTACGTTAGTGTTAATGGGTATGGTGACCTTAGTGTTAATGGGTATGGTGACCTTAGTGTTAATGGGTATGGTGACCTTAAGGCTAATGTGTATGGTGAACTAAAGGGTTATTGATTATAGTGACCTGAAGGATAATGGATATGGTAACCTGAGGGGACAATGAATATGGTAATCTGGGGGGGGGGGCTAATTTATATGCTGGCCTGGGGGATAATGGGCACGTGACCTTAGTCCCAGCTGTGTCTGGGTGCAAGTGACAGGATGAACAACCCAGCGGGTTTTCTTCCTATTGGGGAGTGTTATACATGCTGCTATGGCGGTGTGTCCACTCACAAGATGAGTGGCGCTGCCCAATAAACTCGCCCCTTGGGGCAAAATTTAAATTAAAAAAAAAAACTCAATTGGGAATTCCGTTTTCGAATCCCGGGTGGGACAGAAATGGTTGGGCGTGTTTCCTATCGCCTAATACCTCTGTCCACCTAGCAGTAAGTTGGTGCCCATGCAGGAGTTAGTGAGCTTGTTGTGGGGTTGCATCCAAGAGAGGGTCAGTAGTTCCTCCCTAATATATGTGTGTATATATATATATATATATATATATATATATATATATATATATATATATATATATATATATATATATAATATACACTGGCTGTCTGTTCCTGATACTGTGAATTATTATAATTATTATTTTAATGGGTATGGTGTCCAGAACGTTAATGGGTATGGGAACCTAGTTGCTATATAATGAGTTCGGCAAAGGTACATAAATGTGGTAATGAAGAGTGAATGGTAATTAATTACTGTGGCCAGTTAAAGTGTTATCTCTCACGTACACACATATATTGTGTGTCAGGTCCACCACTCCGCGCCTCCCATCCCCCTCCCCGTGCTCTATCACACCGGCTCACACACTCCTCACGAAACTGAGGCAGAAAAAGTGCTGCTGACTGTTGATGTAGCATTAAGTAGTAATTTGAGTGTATGCTGGTGTAAAATATCCAATTTAATATTAAGTGTGTATCGGCGATAAAAGTTTGCAGGCCAATAGGGTTTGGGTTGTACGGTTGGCAGCCCTGCACTTGCCGTTCCGCAGCCATTGACTGTAAACATTTTAGGCGCCACGAAACTTTTATTTTTTCCGGAGACAAAGTTCATTTTCGAAAATCGTCTGCAGCAACACGTACATTTGAGGTTGATGTTGGTGTGTGAGGGGGTTGAGAGGGAGGTGAGCCGGGGGAGAGAGAGAGAGAGAGAGAGGGAGGGAGGGGGATAGATAAAGGCGATGAAGGGCGAGAGTGTATACGAGCTGGCAACGCGAGCGAGCGACAGAAATATATGCCAGTCGCCGCTCGCGGGAGAGTTCAGTACAACTTGTGGCAGGTGTTGTCGAGGGTGGCTATACTGCGGCCGGGACTCCCCCTCCACCACGTGTCCAGCACACGCTCCTCCTCCACCACCACACCCTCTCCTCCAGGGGACACTGGGTGCCTCCGTCCCTCCACCGGGGCACGAGCCGTGTGTAACCCGTGGCAGGGCTCTATAGTAGCCGCACAACGTGGCCCCCCACCCCCCTCCCTGGGGCAAACAAAGTTAGAAAGTGTGCCAGCAGTGTTGGACCGTGGAGGTGGACTGAAAGGCAAGTGCATGCCCACCCTTCCCCCACCCCCACGCACACACACGCGACACTTTCTCCAGCCTCACTCTCACACCTTAAATCTCTGACAACCGTTTCGTAACAGTGTGTGTGTGTGAAAGAGAGAGAGAGAGAAATTAGCACCAAATTAGGATATATACAGTGTAGTGTAAATTGGTGTTGAAGGGAGAGATCAGTGAGGCGGTGGCTGGTGTTGAGGCCTCATCATTATCATCATCACCATCATCATCATCATCTAGCGACACCAGGGGTGTGACACTCATTACTCTGACGAGTCGAGTTGATCTTATACCTGTTGCTCATCACACTCATCTCCTGCAGGTGAGTCTTGCCAGGTTTTCCTTCAATATTTCAGTGTTCGTCTGAGCAGTAGTTGCCAGTCGGTGAATTGGAAGCAGCGATTATATATGCAAGCCATGTACTGTATTAGAGAGTATTACGTCAGCCCCCTTTTTTTTATACTGGTTTAACTTGGTAATGGATTTAAGATGGAACCTGAACTATCCGGACAATCTCGCAGTTTTTGTGATGTCCATCGAAATGTATACTGACCTGAGTGTCTTATATATAAATATAAGGGCATACAAACTTCTTTCAAGAAGTTTGATAAAGCAGTAAGACGCAGTAGGCGAGCAGCGCAAGTGTTTGAGAGTGAGGTTGGCGGTGTTGCGCACTAGTACTTGCGGTGCTCCTCCTCGCGCTCATGACCTGTGCAGCTTCCTTGGTAAAGGTCTAAGTCAAATGTCAGTAGCAGTCATGTGTGTGTGTGTGTGTGATGAGTCACTCAGGCCCCTGGACGAGAGAACCTCTTCAGGTTAAACACGTTTTGTTCTCACCTTTTCAATGACTCGAGATCTTCGAGAAGTTAATAGTTACCTCTGACCATCTCAAGATGTTTACTTAAACCAGGTCAAGAAGTAATGTTAATTACTCCAAGCTAAACTCGAGTTATGGTTAAAAGTTGCCGTGTATCAACGAATTTGCTGAGGCTTAATAACTGACCCTGTTTTAAAGAGTTACCAGATCTCTCAATCGTGTGGACTGTTGTAATACATTGTACGTTCATGGTCATCTAGGATCTTTTTTTTATTCATAACCACGTCTGGAATTGTGTATTTAGTCAAGTCACACGTGCACGCAGCCAGAGTGAGCGAGCCTTGCAAGTGTAACAATGTATCAAGGATTGCAGCTTCTTTTAACACATGGAGACCCAAGTCATGCGACGGGTTAATGAAGCTTGGTAATGTGTGCTGTGGGTATTGGAATTGTTGTCTTAAACTTTTGATTACGAAGGCTAATAGTTTATGTAAATGCGTAGTAAAGGTTGCCAATTATAGGCCAACAGGCTTACTGTTTTTTTGTTTTGTTCCTGAGTTCTTACCTTGCGGTGGGCCCGGGGTTCAAGGTCCCGGGGGCCCGGTCCCCGACCAGGCCTCCTGGTCAAGTTTGAAGGTCTTAAAGGTCAAGTTTATCCTACTTCCCTCACTATATGCCTCTCCCTTCCCATGATCTTCCTTCAACTTTACCTCCTTTATTCTTAATGCAAACATAGGTAAAATATCATAATTATAATTAAACAAATGTCCCCGAAAACAAGTAGCGCAAAAGTTGTATCAACAATACTGTATTTACACATGTATTCCTATGTCAATAATTGAAAGGTCACCCCTATACTTGCCAAAGGTCACTCTCTGGTCAAGGAATTTGGATCTTAATTTAAACATCAACTTAGAATATTGAAACCTCACCTAGCCTTGTATCGGCTAATTACATTAGATTTGTTGACACTATAAATAATTTTGTATTTGTTAGTTAATTACTATTATAATTATTATTATTATTATTTATTATTCAAGTGTTCATGGTGTCAAAATGCAGTAACACAATAATGGGAAACGTTTTAAGATTTATTTGTCTATGTCATATAATATTTAGCCTTGTCGGCTATAATAATCCCACTAAGCGTCGATGCAGTGTGTATTTTAGAATATTTTGTGTATGACCCAAATTACTGGCACCAAGTCTGCCCAGGCCTACCTCCGTGTATTATGGTGAGCCCCTTGTGTAATATTGAGCAGATTTATTAGTTATTTATTATGCATCTCATACTGTGTACCCATCTTGTGGGTGATAGAGGAAAAGGAGACATAATCGGCTCAGGAACTGATTCCTTCAAATTTATCCATAAGTTTTTCTTGCGCTACGAAGGTTGCAAAAGCCTCGTCATATTTTCCCGGAATTAAAAAAAAAAGAAACTGTCTCGTATATTGGAATACGCTTCCTGGAATGTGCATCCCGTAAACTATCCAACATACAAACCCTTCAACTGTTGCTTAGGAATTGGTCACACTCTTTCTGTCTGGATTCGCTCTGTGTGGTGTTGTGCATTTTCGTGCCTGTAATATTGTGCCGAAAGTGTGTGTCTTTTTGGCTCGTCTTCCATTCATTCTATAAATTTATAAAATATTAACTTATATTTAGAATAATAAATAAAAAAAGTATTTAACAATACCATAGAAATACAGTTATTTAATTAGATTAGTGCATGTAGTTAGGATTCGCAAAAGATTTTAGAGGAAAATATAAAATTTAAAGTTACTATAATTTTACATAACCCACTGAATTCAACAGCTGAAGATTTTGTGCATAACTAATATTGAAAAGCCTCCTTGAAAGTCTAGAAAGTCTTGTACTTTCATAATTTCATTTCATAATAGATTCAGTAATCTCGCATCGTATCGAGATTTTACATTTAGACAAATATTTTTACATTAATTTTTGTAATATTTTGGACAAAGTGAGAATTATCCGTGTCTAGTAATTGTAGTTTACCAACACACACCTGGATGAAGTTACGTAAATTTGAATACAGTACAACAGTTAGTGCAAAAATATGGACTTATTGAAGTATGTTACATAGTATCTTGAACTAAGGACACTTTATGAGTATGTGGCTCACAGGATGGGTATGTGGTGCATATTAAATGACTAAGATAATGTAATTATCAGGAGAAAGCGCCAAGCCATTACAACTAGATAACACTTGGATGAGGATAAAGCTTTAGGCTAGGACGGAGGGAAGGAATGGTGCCCAACCACTTGGATGGTCGGGAATTGAACGGCGACATGTAAGAAGTTAGACCGTCGCTCTATCGTGTAGCCCTGAATTGAAACTGAACGGTTTATCAATAAGTTGACAAGTTTTCATACGTTCAATATGCTAGTCACGGTTTTCCACAGATCTTGTAGTCTGTTGTATTTAGACATTCTAGTTGTAGTCAGATATAAAGCGTCGCCCGCGTCTGCGTTTGTACAACAAAAGTGTTCAATATGACAACCCTTGAAGTGGACAGTTTACATTGCGTGGGAACACGTGTGAGGTTCAGTGTCTTTGGTAGCTCCGAACATTTCCTCTCCTGTTATATGTGATTGAAGAGTATATTATGTTGTTTTGATGTACATACCTTGCGGTTACCTTGCCATGATTTCCGGGCTTATCGTCCCCGCGGCCTGGTCCTCGTCGACCAGGCCTCCTGGTTGCTGGTATACACAGTGAAATATTTAATGGTGTTCAGTTGAGCAATGGGTGCTGAACATGGTAGTTCTTGAATGCTATTCATAAAAATTATGGGCTTTTGTCAGTTTTTTTTTAAGTTAATGCAACTTAATGATAGAGGACCGCATGTAATTGCAGTAAAGAACGTCAGGGTAGATATGATTGCCATGAACTAGGTCTAGTGTAACAAAATGAACATGAAAGATTTTGTTGTTTTGTAAAGCACCGCGAACATTTAGATCCGTATTTTCACGTGCAAGATAGGCAAATGGGACTTCCGCACGGGTGCTTGTCAGTAACTATACCGAGGAACGGATGTGAGAACACAAGTTATAACCGACGGTAATTATTAACTTACTTTCCGGGGAAAGTGCTTCCGCTTCTGCGCAGTTTCATCTTTTACATTTTCATAATATTCAGGGAATCTGTTGACTACAAACTATTTGTGAAATTTGTTTCGCGTGTAGTTAAGGATGTTATTGCCTGGGTTATATAAAGTGGTATCGTTAGTAAAAAGAATGGTTTTAGGCACCGATAACTTGCAAATGACATTGATGTTCAGTAGACCAAGGCTAAGAAGAGAATAGGTACTAGAATTGACCCTTTGAGTACTCCAATGATGCTGTTTTAAGGAATTGAAATTGCGATAATGAAAGATGCAAATTCTCTTCAGTCTTTCCTTGAAGTAGTTCACAACCCAGTTTAGTATGCAATTTTAATACCTAAGATATTGCAGTTGAGTAGCTTAATAGTATTTCATGGTTAACGGAGTCAAAATCAAATTACTCAAACCTAAAAAGACATCTACTGTATTGCCGTTTCATTGAGGGTTGTTACAGCAAGTCGTTTATAGACAATTTTCTCTAAAATTTTACCAACTGCTCAAAGGACAGATTTCAGTAGATAATTGATAATTAACTGAAGCTCCTTTTAATATATACTGAATAGGCGTCGTGATATGTGCATCCTTGTATTGATAAGTAACCTATTACACTGACGTATTGCAAATGAAAAGTTGTAAATAGGTGACGTTGTCAGTATTAGCTTTATTAATTGCTAAAAAATTATCTTGTCTAGGACCAATTTTTTTAATGATGTGTTCTGATGAGAAGGTGTTTTAGAGAATTAATCACAGGCATGATTGAGCATTAAACGTTGCTTTATGTGGGTGGGTTCAACCACTCGGGAAGGTTGCTAGAGAGGGTGACTGGCACTGAATTGTAGCCCAGTTGTTGTTGCATGCAATAATTGCATAAGAAACAGTAACTTGAAGCAACCTTCAACAGTAGACACATGTTAGCATCCTAGCCAAAGATTGTGTCGGGCCCCTAGGTTATCTCTCGTGAGTATTTAATAATTTCAGCTGCAACAGTAAACATATTGACTACATACAAGAAAGTGAAGGGACGACGGCATTTCGGTCCGTCCTGGACCATTCTCAAGTCAACATACTTCAGCAACATATTGACTAATTAAACACATAACCAGGAGCTACCGAGCACTTCATGGATAGGCAAACAATTTGTTTAGCACGTTGACGTAAAAATCAATGTGGACTAGGCTTACAGGAAAAAAATTGTAAATGCATATAAATAACAAGGCTGAAGACGTCCAGCATAAAAAAGTCAAAAGTCAAAAAGTAAAATGAAAAACTTTATGGAATACAAATGTGTTGTAAAATCGCTGAAAGGCTCCCAATTATCAAAGCAAACGTGAACTTGGCCTAATTTTAGAAGAAACCTCCGTCAATATTTTTTTCGCTTCT